CTTCCATACTGGCACAAACAGCAGCACTAATAGATACATCTAGTATACCCCTATGGCATATATTAGAACAATCCATCGTCCCACAATATGAGATATTGGATCTCATTTGGACAACACATCATGCTCATCTTAGAAACTTTAATTTCCTATCCACAACACAAATATCTCCAAGGTTGTGGAGTTACTGGGCCCCTAAACTTCTGGGGAAAGGCAATTATTTTTACTATGGAACTCTGCAAAGTTTAACTTATTATGCAAACAATTTAAACATAACAACATGGAGAAAGAAAGGATTAACAAAAACCCGACATCTAATAGCAGGCTCAGCTATACATTAATTCCCAGATATACAAATTAAATACGATCTTCATAACAGGAAACTCTATACATATCTCAGAGTGAAACATATTTTAATGAAACTTCAAGTGAAGGAGGTGGAAAATTCTAGGGTGAATGATTTTGGGAGGCTATGTTTGGGGAGACGACCCCAAAATAAGCCTTGATCAATAAGCTACAGAGGAATATTAAATAGAGCAAAACCAGAGAAACTGCCTTTTATGTTAAATTGGGAGAAGGAGCTAAACAACGAGTGGGAGCCCTTTCAATGGTATAGGGGTATGAGATCAACTAAGGCTGCCACACGTAATATACAACACATAGAAGCAAAATACAAAATGTGGCTACGGTAGTACGTGACAACACAAAAATTGGCGCAAATATATTCAGAGAACGTGGGGACATGCTGAAGATGTGGGGAAATGGAAGGATCTGTGACCCATATGTTTTGGCAGTGTAAAAAAATTATTGATGCATGGAAACACATTCAACGATTATTTTTTAAAGTTACAAATACATTTATGCCCCTGCAACCAAAAATATTCCTACGACAAGAAAAGAATATTGCTACAAGAAAAAGTGCTAATTATACATATTTTGATGGCTCAAAAAAGGCTATTGCCAATTTATGGAAAACAAAACAGGTGCCATCATTAAGTATAATAAGGGAAAAGATCTCTACTACCAAATTCTATGAGGAGATGGCATATAGGCTAAAAGGCAAACAAGATATTTATGATAAAAATTTGGGAGAGGTGGAAATTAAATGAGAGGAAATTAAGAGAAAATAAGGGGAAAGAAATAAGCAAAATAGCTTCATTAATGGTTAATGGTGGTTTTAACATACAAGAATACAAGTTTTTGTTCCTGACCCTATAATGTTCCTTTAATAATCAAATGAATTGAAACATTAGACTGAATAAAATGCTTCTGCTTTATGTTCTATTCACTCTGTCCACAAAAAGTCTAGTAATCCGATCACATTTGAAATTCCGGTAGTGTCTTGCAAACTGAAGATGCTTCAGTTTGTTTTAGATGAGAGTAGAGGCTTTTTTCTTAAAATCCATCAAAACATCTTGCGGTGATGTAGGTGAATTTAGTTTTGGAGACTTTCTGTTTTCAAGATGCAACTAACTTCCTTACTTCAGGCGGCGGGACGTACAGCATTTTCAGGTGAGGCCGTGTGCAGATGCTGTAAGCGGTTGCATGGAGGACTAGCTCTGAATCGGAAAAAACAAGCCAGACAGCCAAAAAAGCAGCAAAACTGAGCCCGGCAGCAAGCAAGTGTCAAGAGGTGAGGAGGAGAGAAATGAATGGAAAAAAATGGGAGTGCAGAGATGTTGCAAAGCAGGTGAACAAAGGGGAGCAGAGCATTGTGTACAGAGGTGTTGCATAGTAGGTGAACGGAGGGGAGCAGTGCATTGTGTATGAGCTTATTATTACACTAAATTTAAGCGAAACTGCCATACTGCATCATACAATTGACCATTACCATATCACCACAGTGCTACAGTACCGTAACACCATATTTCTGTACTACTAACCTACTACAACAGTGTACTACCGTATTACAGCATAAGGCACTATTGCACTACTAAAAGAGACACTGTACCACAAAATAATTAGTGCCTGGCAAACACCCAGAAAATATTCAGAAAGCAGCTAAGCAAGCAAGCTAGACAAAAAAAAAAAAAAAAGTTCTGTTTGGTTTTATTTAAATAAGAAAAAAAAATTATAATTTTTTGGTGCACAGCAATTTTCTGAGAGAAGCAGAGAGCTGGGGTGCAGCTGGGATAAAGGAGCATGGAAGTACAGGTTCACAGTTTCACTGTTCTACAGGTGCACACGAGAACAATTGTAAAGGAGAGTGTAGCATACTTTTGCACCACGGCACCGTATTACTGTTTATTTCTGTTTGACCACATTACACTACTAATGCACAACCGTATCAGCAAACTAAAGTAATATACTATTGCATTACTGCACCAAATTATTGTTTAATCATACTACTGCACTAACGTATGAGCGAACTAACATATACGGCCAAAGATGGCACCACCGAAATCACAGAGACATCATGAGTTTTTTAAATCAAACAAGAGAGATAGAGGAAAGCCAGAACAAAGTGAGATGCCCCTCACACCACTCTGAAGCGGTATCTGATACAGACTCAATGCATATTGCGGGTGAAATGAGCGAAGATCTATCTCTATCTGAAAAGAGGTTGGCGGATATGCTTTCTACTTTGAGAACATCACTATTTCCGAAAAATATCGCAAGAAATCTGCAAGGAAGTCCATGACATAGGCATGAGAACTTCTGCTCTGGAAGAAAAAAAAAAAACGATGAGCTATTTGGATAAAACTGAGGAAACTGTGCTTTAATTGATATTTATATACTTGTCTATGTTTTTAATATAAGACAATAAATCAATGTGTTCAGGGTTTTTAGGTATAAAGGACTGTGCTGAGGCACATACATTATGGCTACACGACCACTTTAAATATTTGTCGTTTGTACATTTTTTTTTTTTATATATGTGAAGATAAAATTGAAATAGGTGTGTTTAACAGACATATATATATATATATATATATATATATATATATATACACATATGTTTCCAATATAATACAATAATTTAATATGTACATGATTTTGGTGTAGAATAAGACTGCATAGAGATACAGGACTTTTATTGTTAGAACTTATCGGCTGAATGGAACGCAATAGTGCGTTCCAAAGACTCAAAGATCTCAATGGACGTGTGTTGCCGATCAAATGAAATGCGAGGTGCGTTTCAATCATATCACATAACCACATGACTAGACATGTCACAACCAGGAAGTGACGCAACCCGGAACTGAGACATCGATGGAAAGGTGGAATGCAGGTTGCGTTCCACGGAAAAAAAGACAGCGAATTAGAACATATTTAAAGAACAGAATGGACTGGAGAACGTTAACCAAGCCAACTGAGGAAGCCGAAAACAGGTTTTGGCAACAAATTGGACATTTTACAAAGTATTTATTTCTATTTTCTTTTATCCATATGCTTAATAATAACTTTAGTTTTTACATTATTGGAGTTCCTGCTATTAATTGCTGGGAGAAGACTGCAACACTCCAGGAATCTAGACAAGGCATCCAGACCAGGCACCCAGACCGTCCACAGGGGGATTTGGATCACCCTTATAGATCTTAAAGCCATCCACACCAGAGCCAGGTGATTTTTATGGCTCTACTCTTGTGAGTGCATTCCTATATATAGCATTATTTTAAATATAATTGTGAGTTATCTGCACTATTGTATACCTCTCTGTCTTTGCAGCACTGCTGGACCAATTGAGAAGAGAGGAAAGTATATAATTTGCTCCACCTATTGTGTTTGTAGTTTAAATGCCTAATGATCATTTACGTAAAAAAACTTAAACTTGGAAAAAAAAACTATAAAATTTGGAATTACACGTAACAGAACGTCACCTGAGAAAATTGAAATTCAAATACTATACACAGGGGAATAAAGCAGGTAAACTATTGGTGTCCCAACTTAAACAGAAACTAACTCAAACGAAAATTCCCTATTTGGTAAATTCAGCAGGAACTAAACTGATAGATCCAAATCAAATTGTTAAAGAATTGGCCTCATATTACGAATATCTGTACAATTCAAGATTATGCTAGCGCAGTGTACTAATAATCTTAATTTTAATAATGACAGGAGGCGAGTATTTTGCATTAACTTTCTTTACTAGCTCCACAGCAGCAAAGAAAAAAACCATTAAAGAAAGAACCAATCAGAGTAAAACAGAGGATATATAAGTCCCAGCGTAGCCAACCATTTCCTCTTGACTACTGCGACATCACAAGGTCCTAATGCGGTAATAAGTCCGTTGTAATTTTATTCCAACTATCATAACGTAATCCAACATGGAAACAATAATGGCCTCTTCAGCCTTCCCATCATCCTTGTGGCTTGTCAGACTGAAAAGAAAGAGAGACTAGTATCAGCGATACGGAGATGACCATAGAAAACAAGTGTCTGGTTATGAGTTAACTTCTCAGTAACTATAGTGTAATTCTTAATATCATTATAGTTCAAGAAACCCTATAATAATTACAGCAGTATGTTAGCCTAACCCATGGTGACTTAAAGCAAGATAAGGGACCATCTTATTCATACTACTTAAACTTACCTCCATTTGGGCAGGCACGTCTAGGAGAATGAAAGGGTGGAAAAATACTCGCCTCCTGTCATTATTAAAATTAAGATTATTAGTACACTGCGCTAGCATAATCTTCAATTTTATAACATGACAGGAGGCTTCGTATTTTGCAGTTTTAACGCTTAGGTAGAAGAGCGAAAACAGCATTGGACGACGGGCGAAAATAGAAGGTCCGAAAGGTAGATTCTCGGGACCAATCTGCCGTGTGTAGGATGTCCGACAGTGAGGCGCCTGCTAGAAATGCCGACGATGCCGCTGCCCCTCGAACGGAGTGTGCACCAAAGGAAGCTTCTATCCCGGCTAAAGAGAGAAGCCATTTGATCCATCTGGCCAATGTGGTGACCGAAACAGGGCCGTGTGGATTTACATATGACACCAAAAGTTGTCGTACAGACGGTGGGCGCAAGTTCTCCGTTGCAGTCACGTATGCTCATAGAGCCCGAACCACACACAGTTGGGGGTCTGAATTGAAGAACGGATAGAAAACTGATGTTGAGTTGGATTTAGTGCGTCATGATATGTGAAACGTGACTCCTGCGGGGCCAATGGAAAAGGCGTCCTTATCGAATGTCCGAACGTCAGCCACTCTCCGGAAGGAAACCATGCACAACAGGAAGGTGAACTTCGCCATCAGCTGTTTCAATGAGAGCTGTTCGTTGGGAGGCCAGTTCCTGAGGAAACGAAGGACTATCTCCACATCCCAGAGATGTTGATACTTAGGTGCTGGAGGTCTCCTTAGCTTGATACCCCGTAGTAGCCGGCATATTAGCGGATCCTGTCTGACTGCCCTTCCTTGAGACGGTACGTGTGCTGCCGAGATAGCTGATCTCATGACATTTATGGTGCAGTAAGACTTCCCTTCTTCGAATAGCGTCGAGATAAAATTCATGATGTCCGAAACAGGGGCTGTAAAGGGATCCAGATCCCGTCCCACGCACCAACTGGTCCAAGCTCGCCATGCGGATAGATAGCTTCTTCTTGTTTCCGGGGCCCAGGAGTCCCATAGGAGGTCCTTAGCTGTTGACGATAATTCGTCGGTACACCAGGTTCTCCTGAAAGAGGCCACCAAGGATAGACGTCCATCTGACACCATCGGATGTGCGTTCCCCGCCGGGTCTCTGAGTAGCATGTCGTCGCTCGGTAGGAGAATCGGGTCCTGATTGGACAATTCGAGAAGGTCCGGGAACCAGGACTGACTCGGCCAGAGGGGTGTCAGCAGGGTTAGTCTGACCCTCCGTCTGCGTAGATGATTGAGAACTCTCGCAATCATGGCAAATGGGGGGAAGACGTACGCTCCCTGTTGGGCCAGTTTTGGGTGAAGGCGTCTACTGCCATACAGTCCGGATCCGGTAGCCAGCTGTAGAACTGTGGAACCTGCCGGTTGTTGAATGAGGCAAACAGATCCAGTATAAAGGGTCCCTTTTGGTCTTGTAGATGCGCGGATATTCGCGGGTCCAACTGCCAGTCGCTGGCATCCCTCCAATGACGGAATACCAATCCGCTGTGAGGTTCGTCTCCCCTGGTAGGTGTTCTGCGTGTAACGTGATATTGCGCGGGAGGCAGTAATCGAAGATTTCCTTCGTCAGATGCACTAGTGACCGTGACCGGGTACCTCCCAAACAGTTGATGTACCGTACCGCCGACACATTGTCCGATCGTAACAGTATACAGCAATTGGACTGCCCTTTTGCAAAGCTGCATATAGCAAAGGAGCCCGCTAGTAGTTCGAGGCAATTAATGTGCATCGATAATTCCTTTGGCGTCCACGTTCCCCCTGTGGATGTTTCTCCATCCGTGGCGCCCCATCCCATGTGGCTCGCGTCCGATTCCAGGATGAAGTCCGGTTGGCTGCCAAAGATGGCCCGACCGTTTCAGGCCTGCATACAGTGGAGCCACCACTGGAGTTCTTGATAGACTTCCTCCGACAGTGGAACCGGTTGGTTGTATGTGGGGTTCTGGCGAAGGAGGCTGGCCTTCAGTCGTTGCATCGTCCGGTAGTGAAGGGGTCCCGGAAATATGGCTTGTATTGATGATGATGATGATAAGAGTCCCACGATCCGCACCAGTTGACGCAGCGGAATGGAGTCCAATTTGAGAACCCTGCGGATCTCCTTCCTGATAGCCGTCACCTTGGCGGACGGGAGATGCAGGGTGCAGGACCTGGAGTCGATCTCAAAGCCCAGGAATTGGATTCGTTGGGCGTGTGTCATAGCAGACTTGGCCCTGTTGACAACGAAGCCCAAGGATTCTAATACTGTATACGCAGTGTGTTGGACGGCCAGTTCCCTCGTTCTGCAGAACAAGAGAATGTCGTCCAGATAAATTATGCATCTGATCCCGTGTGTCCAGAGGTGTGAGACCACTGGTTTCAGCATTTTTGTGAAGCACCACGGTGCCGAGCTCAGTCCGAATGGAAGGCACGTGAATTGCCATGGTGAGCCGTTCCAGAGAAAACGGAGAAAGGGCCGGCTGTCCGCATGGATTGGAATTGCCAAGTAAGCGTCCTTGAGGTCTAGACGCGTAAACCAATCTCTTTCTTGGAGGAGGTCTCTCAGTAAATGTATGCCCTCCATTTTGAAATGGCGGTAGGTCACATACGTCTTCAGTCCTCTTAAATTGATCATTGGCCGGAAGTCCCCAGTCTTCTTGCGGACGAGGAACATGTTGCTGAAGAAACCTCCCCTTGTGCGTGCAGGTTCTATAGCGCCCTTCGTGTGTAGCTCGCAGAGCTCCCTTTCTATGAGGTGAGTGTCCACAGCCGAGAGGCGCAAAGGACAAAGGGGAGACCTTTGAACGGGCTTTGATCGGAGTTCGATTCGGTATCCTTTGACCGTCTGTATACCCAAGCGTCCGTGGACAGTTGGGCCCAGTTCTGGGAAAAAAGTGAAACACGGCCTGCAATCATAGTTATATGAGGTATTGAGTAACAGTGGTCTCTTACCTGTTGGGAAGCATGCACGGCCTCGTCCCCGACCGCCTCGTCCTTTGTCTGAGCCCCTTTGGTAATAGGGGAAGGGTTGTTTAGCTCCGGTGCCCTGGTAACTTTGTTGAGGGAAGAATTGATGTTGGTAGCCCATGCGGGGGCCTGAAGGCCAGAACGGCTGGCGGCACAGCCCCTTTGCCGACCAGCCCTGGAAAAAACACTCTTCGCAGAGGTACCTCAGAAGACCTTGTGCATGGACGTGCGGGCCCTATTCAAGGATGTAAATACATTTACATGTTTATTTAGCTCTTTCATAAAGGCTTCACCAAAGAGCTTGCCCTGTGCCTGTGGGCCCAATTCTTTGACCCCTAAATCAACCAGTTTGGGGTCGATGCGAAATAGTGCTGCTCGGCGCCGCTCCATAGAGAGGGCCGCATTCATATTACCGAGGAAACAAAAGCCCCTCTGGGCCCACTCTCGGATATCGTGTGCCCATGCTCGCACCATGCCTGCTGTGAAGGAGTCCGCTCTGGCGTAGGCTTCGTCCGCCAGGTACATAACTCGGGCCAATGGGCCCATTGTGTCCAGGAGTTTATCCTGCGCTCCTTTAAAGCTTTTCTCAATTCCCCTCTGTGGGTCGCGGCCCCCTTGTTCCATAAAGGTCAGCATGAGCTGATCAAATTCCGGTGTATAGGCCACCTTATCTGGCAAGGTTGGTCTCGGACACTCTGCCCGCATCCTCTTACGTATATGCTTTTCCAGGGGTTTTCTTATCCAAAAATGCATGAAGCGGAGGAGGTGATCAGGTGGGGCCCACTCGCCTGAGCAGGGGTGGCGAATATTCCTGGGGTCAAACATTCTCTGACCCGTGGAGTCTAGGAATATCTCCTGCTCCTGAGTAGCCGTGGCGGGGGGTTCCGCATCTCCTTTAGTCTGGGGCTCACCCAGAAATTGGAGCCCCAACCGCCCTCGTCAGAGTCGGAGGTTTCTGCCTGCCACTCATCCAGGATGGAGAGGGAGTGGGGCACATCTTGCTCCTCATCCGAGGAGGCCTCCCTAGTGTACGCGGGAGGTATCGATATAGTGCGTTTATCACGCTTTACTGGGGTTTTGCCTTTGAAGGCGGCTCTTTTGGAACCTTCGCCCTTCCAGTGATGCTTTGCTGGGCGTTTCTTGTCTCTAGTGGAGTCTTCCGACTCATCGGAGTCCTCGTGGGCTTGGTGTTGCTTGCGAGCCAGCGCGTTAGGGTCAGAGGGGGCAGGAGCCACCTTTGCTAACGTTTTCTCTAAAGACTCAGCTACCGCTGCGTTGATCATTGCCTGAAGATCACCAGTATTAATTGTGTCCTCCATAGTGTGGGCACTAACAGGCACAGGTATAGCAATGAGAGGTGAGGGACCATACGGGAGGGACTCAGGCAGGCCGATGGCCGTAAGCAGCTTTCAGTGGCGTGGTACTGGACTCCTAGTCACTGCGGCTCACCCAGGGTCTCAGAAACTGCTTTAACAGTTCCCGCTATGCAGCACTCAATAGGGGCTCACCTCTAGCCAGGTTATCGGGCTAAACCCTAATGGCAGTCCCACTCACCAGGGGCAATGTCACCAACCTGTGTAGGTCCCAGACTGATTCCACCTCAGCAGTGTCAATAATTCGTTTGACAGCAAGAGCCTTCTTCTGATAGGTGTTGCACTCCACGAAAAAACTATTACCCACAAAATGGCTGCGCGGGTCTCGCGAGATATCAGGAGCAGAAGCCCGTGAAAATGGAGCCCTTATGCGTTCGGCAGTTCAGCCGCAAACGGTCGTTCGCTTGGTTGAAGCCGCCGAACGCTGTGGGGCTTAACAAACCCGTGAACGGAATGGATTCCCAGTAGTTCGAGAAACCGTCCGTTCGCGTAAATCTCACCTATTCGCGGTCAAAACCCTGCCCGCCCGTTCGAGCCTTTTCTTAAACCAACCGTGCGAACGGGTTCGGGCCGCGAACGCACAGCGCCCTGAGGGATCAAGCGTCCCGTCTGATCGCGCCACTAAGGCGCGAGCAGAGGGAGACGGCAGAAAGAAAGGTAGCGATTGTAGCCACCGGCCAACGGGACAAACAAAGAGGTGGAGGGGGGGGAGGGGGAGGAAAGGGGGGGCAGTCTGGCCAGGCTAAGCCCGGTAAGAGCAGGGACAGGAGAGCACTGGGCGAGGCTGGCACGGACAGGGAGCCTCAGCCCCTGTACCCTGCCCACAGTTAGTGACCACAACTCCCCTGACAGGAGAGGGGTAGTCCCTCTAAGGTCCCCCTGGCACCCCAACACAATAAGGAATAACAGTAAATACAGCAATATAAAGACAATTAAAGCAAAACAGTCAGCAAATAAAAACCTTAAAGAAACCTTAAAGAAATCAGTACTCTGACCTGACTTGTGATGGAGCAGCAAAGAAAGAGGAAATGGTTGGCTACACTGGGACATATATATACTCTGTTTTACTCTGATTCTGGTTCTTTCTTTAATGGTTTTTTTCTTTCCTGCTGTGGAGCTAGTAAAGAAAGTTAATGCAAAATACGAAGCCTCCTGTCATGTTATAAAATTTGAAAGAGGACCCATACACAAGCCAACCTACATTAGATACAAGGACAGAAGGTGCCTGTAGCAAGTGTGTTAAAAAATGATAAGCTTAGAGTCATGTCTACAAATTCTTGCAGTTTAGGGAATAAGATCCATGAACTTGTGGCAAT